ATAATATTGGATACCTGACCGTAGTTTTCTATTTGGATCAACTTTAAATAACGATTGTCGATATTTTAAAAAATAAAGGTACTTTACTCTTGAGCAAAATTTACATTTTTCGACAAACCTCGTATACGACTGCAAAAAATTGAAATCTGATTATTTCATTTTGGATTTTAGGCCATGCAGAACTCTTCATCAAGAATAACTTTTTCTCATAAAACCAAAAAAGAGAAGGAGCGTTAAATTGACGTCCACGGGATGTCGGTTATTCAATTTTGTATTGCGATGAAATTTGTTTGTACAATTGCGGTACAATAATTGTATTAATTCGAAATTGACACAATTATTGAAGTAAAAATTGTAACGTTAGTGGCTCGTTTAAATCAATCTAAATACGTCCACTGTAAAATCATCGTAGTGGGAGAGCGATAGTCTCCGCCTCGAGCTGTAACGCCCGTGCACCCGACCCCGCAACGATACCTTAGCAGTGTACAGAGAACGGACTCTTAAGGACAAAAAACGAATTAAAATTGGCCTGGATTTCCCTTGATACCTTCCGATTCTATAGCATGTCATTATTTCTGATGGTGCAATAGCGACACATAGTTTATTTTAAAATAAACGAATTATTTTATCTTCAACCTCTTCAGAGTTTTCACTTTCGGTTTCACCACCATAAATTATTAAATTGTTTCTCTTAGAATTTTGTTCTAATTTATCAATTCTTTCGTTTATTTCCTGTATATTTCCAGTAGTGATGAGAAGATCCGTTTATTTTCGCGACCCGGGTCATCCAGGGCATTTATTAAAATGATCCGTTCATGAAGACCCGTTCATATGAACGATAACAAAATAGTATCGAATACAATCTGTATCATTCGGCATCGGTCAATCCCTACACGATAGAATGCCTTTTTTGTCATGGTTTGCGGCTTGCGGCGGCTAATATCTTCCTACACCTGCACCTGCACTGTCAACATTTGATAGATTTATGGCCATATAGGTATTTATATGTATTTTTTTTAAAGAAACAAATAACTTATTTAATTCCAGACACTTTTTATAAATGTAAATCATGTTAGAAAATGCTTATGCAAAAAAATTATAAAGATATTGTGAGGAGCCCTTAAATCTCAAATTTAAAACAATTTTTATTTAGTTTAGTTTTATAACAGCACTCCTTGAAGCAATTTCGTAGTTGTATTATATTCCACTGTCGGTAAAGATTTAAAAAATGTCTGAAAAAAAATAATGTATGCAATTTTTTTACTGTTGGTGATAAGGCAAAATGCAATTTATTTCGTTCCAAATTGATGTCTTTTAAAGCAGGAGCAACTTATTATTAATTAAATATTTCTTTATATAACAGCGTTTTTATTAAAACTATATCAGTCAAATTCAAAGAAATATTGGTACCTAGTTTTACAATATTATCATGTTAACCTTATCAGTAAAAAATTAAAATTTCGTCTCCTTCATTCCATTCAGCACTATCATTTGATTGTATAAATAATGATGATCTTTCGTGGCTTTCATTCTGTATCAACACCTGCTCTCCAGTTCAGATCTGCAGGCACTGAGTTTGCGCTCAAATGAACGATGAGCGATGAACGGGTCAATCACGGGTCTTTTAGAAGATTCGGTCATTATGACCGAATCGTTCATGAACGACACATCACTAATTTCCAGTATTTTACTTTATTTCATTTACCATAAGCTTAACGTATCTTCTATCTTATTTGATTTCGTGTCTATTTGCTTACCAATCAGTTGTTTGCATATCTTCATAATTAACTCTGCACTAATATAATTCTCAGATTACACTTGCTGTCATGTTTTTGACATCTTTATCGTTCTGGCACAACTAGACTTCAGATATTATATTAGCAACAAATGGCTTGTTTAAAAATGAATTATTCTTTCACTTTATTTGCATTAACAAAACGATTATGACTTGTTGACTTTTTGTTAACTTAATATAGATGTTATTGTATATCCATTTATGTCTTAATAAGTAATTTTCTGGGACCTGGCACAAACGCGACTAGTCGCTGACATAGTATACATACTCTACATGATGATGAAATAATAGGCAAGCAATTCTATCGAGAGCACTGGCACTGAGCGTCTTGCTTTACGCAGTCTATTTTGAAACTTTTTTAAAATGATGTCAATCCCGAAAATCTCGGGATCAGGAAAACTTAATCCCGAAAATTTCGGGACTGAAAAGCGATCGGGATCCCGGGATCAAATCCTCTAATTGCAACACAACCATCATGTGGTCACAGTTAAACCGCTAATCTGGTATCAGTCTTTGTTTGTGGTTTTTTCTTACACCTATCTTTTTTAGTTGTCTATATTTTCAACTGTTCTTTTTTCTATTACTTTATGTTTAAAAATTTTTGTAATAAAAGACAAAACAAATTTCTTTTTAAGCCCATAACTTTTTAAGGAGGCATTTTGTTACTGAAGTATATTCATTTAATTGTTTGTTTTGGGCAGAAGAAACTTTAGTTAAATTGTTTTTACCTAATTATGACTCACTTTGTATATGAAATATCTACTACCTATAGCTTAATAAAAAAGCAAAATACATGGTACATGCATGCCACATAATGTAAAATTAAGTAAAATATATAAATGCATATACATATGTATACATGTATTTCTTACCAACTTAGACCTTTGGCAGACAAAAGCATTACTTCCTTCCAAGCCCTAAAAATAAATTTAATATAAATTATACAATTCACAACTAGTGAGAGGGTTAACCAATGAGGAAATTAATGTACTGAGAGGCCCATTTTGAGTGAGAATGGAGAGTAGAAGTTAAATGGTAATGAAAAAATATATATATAGGCGTCCTATGCTCCTTTTGCGACCTTAGTTCAGTGATGCAAATAAATCTTAGCTAACTAAAATGGTTATGGGTAACAGAGGATTCCTCAAATTTATTTGGTTTAAGAGATATATTAAAATCAACACAATGTTAAAATGTTTTTTATATGATTTTTTCCATAAAACATAATAGCATACTCAGTTCTTTACTTCAGAGAAATGACACTGAAGTTTGCTATTTCCAAGGAAACACCCTGTACAGTTTTAAATCAATTTTTATTTTTTTTGCATTGCCTTTCAAATAATATAATAATATTATGTAATTAGTAAAGACCGGATTTTATGCAATTGCATATTTTATGCATATTGTGCATATATCTTCAAATTTGGTCATTTAATGCATATGTAGGATTTCTTTGCATATCTTGCATATTTACGTTATTTTTTCTATTTTTGGAAAGTAGAAATAAAGAAATTTTGTTGTCATTTACTTATCATGGGCATTCGGACAGGTAGGTAGTTTAATACCTACATAAAGCCATAAAAGTTTAAACCCAATAATAATTAATTATAGATTAAATATTTAAAATAGTTTAATACCTACATAAAGCCATAAAAGTTTAAACCCAACAATAATCCAAAAATATTCAGGTAAATATTAATAGATTTTTATAGCTTTGTTAAGCTGAGGTTTGAATACCTACTATACCTCTACTATAAATTATTTTCATCCTTTTTGAAATTACTAGTATCAGTGTGGTTGCAGTAGTTCGAACACCTAAAGTGTGCCCAAACAAACTGAATGTGAATTACGTAGCGAACATGCCAAAAATTCAAAGTGCCTCGTGGATTAAACCATGTCCAGAACTTATTTTGGATGGCGATCGCATTTTTTGCAAGGCTTGTTCAAAAATTGTTTCCTGCTCGAAGAAATTCCAAGTAGACCAGCACGCCAAGACGCCGTCCCACATTTCTAAAGCTAACAGAATCAAATCGGGTCCTGTTCAGTCAACGTTGAAGCAAGCTGTGGAAGTCAGCAGTAATCAACACCATGGGCAGACCAAATTTAATGAAGATTTGTGTAGAATGTTTTTGGCTACGAATATTCCTCTCCACAAGATGACCAACCCTCAAGTGAAGGCATTTCTGCAAAAGTACTGCAAATTTAACACTCCAGATGAATCTACATTAAGAAAAAACGTCGTTGGAAAGGTATATGCTTCAGTGATAGAAGAAATTAAGAAAGAAATTGCAGATAACTACATATATATTATTTTTGACGAAACAACTGATGCTTGCGGTCGTTATATAGCTAATCTAATGACTGGAAAACTTTCTGAAGAACCTGGAAAACCTCATCTTATAGCAGTAAAAGAACTTGAAAAAACAAACAACCTAACAGTTACCCGTTATATTCAAGAAACATTAACACATTTCTATCTGCCACATCCAGTCCCTACAGATAAAGTTCTTATTCTGTTGTCCGATGCTGCACCGTATATGTTAAAGGCAGGGCGGAATTTAAAAATATTTTATGAAAATATTGAACCGGCTTTAATTCCAAACTTAAAATTTTGTCCTGTAACTTCGGTTGATGTAGAAAGATCATTTTCTTTATATAAACATATTCTTAGTGACCGAAGGCATAATTTTATAGTAGGAAACCTTGAAACACATATTGTTACTAGTGTACATGTTTTAATTTCAATCAGTATTACTATATTAATTCTGCTTACTTTGTTAAATAAAATGCTGATTCTGTAAAATAAATAATATAAACTGTTAGTTCCCGACAGCAAGATGTTGATGAAAGCTACAAATAATTAAGTGCACATCAGTGAGTTTACTGCTGTCTAATTGGCAAGTGACCGATAAGCAACTGCAACTATTGTAAATCAAATCATTTCGACGAAAACGAAGCAAACAGTACGTCTCATTCAGTCTTGTCATTTAATTCTTTATTGCTTATCCATTGTCCGATTGGCAAAACAAACCACCTGATTAGTCATTAGACCATAAAAAACCGTAACACACATTAAGCACAGTCTAATATTAGAAAATATGAAAAACAAATTAAAAAGGCGAACACAAAATTTAATTTTTATTTTATTTTTTATTTTATTTTAAAAATTACAACATCCAACAGTTTATACTAATTACAGGATGAGGTAACAATGACAATACATTAAATCACAGCAAATAAAATAACACACACAAGAACTAATCTAAAAACACTTTTTTAATACCGGTAATGGTTGTGTTAAATATATCAAGCTGGCTGCTTATTAAATTGTAGTTAGTGCAACACTGAAATAACGGAGACTTGCTTAAAACATTAGTTCGAAGGACAGGAAGATGGAATGTAGCAACAGAGCGTAAAAAGAACCTAGGAATATTTAACCCTAACTTTTGCAAAATGTTAGAATCATCAGTTTTATTGTTCAATAGTTTAAACAAGAAAATAGATGAATGGCACTGCCTACGAATACTTAAACTTTTAAAACCATGTCTCTGAAGCAAAAAGTCATAAGGTATACCAATCTCAGGCTAGATGCCATCAGATTTGAAAGACAACAGTTTCAGGAAACGTCTTTGAACAACTTCCAGCTTGACAGATTGTGTCTGATAATACAGATTCCATACTACAGAGGCATACTCTAACTTTGTCCTTACATACGCGTAATATAGAATTTTTAATGTTACAAGATTAGCAAAGTCCCTACTATATCGAGCTATAAAACCATACATACGCTTAGACTTGGCAACTATGTTATCTATATGCGCATTGAAGGACAGACATTTGTCAAATATTACACCTACGATATTGTTTACTCTGTAATCATAACTGATTAGGTCTTTTTTGAGGGAATAGGACATTACATTACATTTTGTAACATTGATCTCAAGATGATTTAAACTGCACCATTCTACAACACGTTTTGTTATTATATAATCAAACACAGTCAGCCTCAGATTGGATCTCACAATAAATTTTCAGGTCATCTGCATAAAGAAGGCATTGGACATCTATTATACTAACAATATCATTAATAAAAATATTTAAAACCATTGAGCATGACATACTGTTTTCAATCCATCAGATAAGAAGTGAACAGGTTGATTAAGTTTAACGACAAACCACACGATAATAATTTTCTTAATTGCATGCCATGATCAAGTCTGTCAAATGCCTTCGACATGTAGTATATATGACATCGACCTGTCAACATTCTGCTGACATGATGATATAACCGATTGTGCAGAAGAATTTCAAAAACCTTGCAAAAATTGGAAATAATCAATATAGGTCTGAAATTTATAATATTGGACTTATCACCCTTTTTATAGATAGGACAGATCTTAGATAATTTTCATATATCAGGAATTCTAGCCGTTTTTAGACATATATTTATAAATACACTTAAAGGACGAGCAAGAACATATGCACAATCGCACAACAAAAATGCTGGAATATTGTCAGGACCAGTTGTCAACTTAGGTTTTATTTGCACGCCTTACCTCAGTATCACTGAAACTATCGATATTTAAAACTGCTTAGTTGTTTGTTACAATATCGTTAAAATTAAAATTACTTGATGGCAAATATGATTTAGCAACGAAATCAGCAAACGCATCCATTATTTCTTGCGGTTTAGTGAGCTGAGTATTATTACCCAACTAATACAAATGCTGCTATTACACCACTCAAAGTTATATAACTGTTTTTTAATAGCAGCAAATTTGGTATATAAAAAAGTTGTTAGAACATTCTAATAGTAAAATTATGCAACAATTTTATAAAGGTTTTATTAGAGACTTATAAACGTGGTAAATGAAACTTCTATAAAAGTTTAAAGTGTAATAGCTGCTTCCTTGTTTGTTATAATGTTATATAAGCAGTTATCGGTCAATTGGTAAAGCTCTAATATAATATATTGATTGCACTATTAATGTTCTATAATATTATCATTTAAATAGACTATATGATTAAATTATAAATTATTTTAGCTTTTTAAGGTATATAATATCACAACGAACTTTAAAAAAGAATCTATAAAAGGGTTTTATTACAGCTGTAAGCAGAATAGTTAAACAGTTTCTTCTCAATTAAAAAGCTATTTTTGAGAGAGCAATATATATTGTACTTATAAAACCACTATATAGTAAAGCTTTCAAAGACATAAAAATATATATGGAGATTGTCCCTAACCTAAAAATCAGTGAATCAGAAGGTTTGTTGGTAGTAATAAGTAAATATCATTACAATTTGTTTTTATGGCTGTAGTATTTTTAACGTAATAAATATTTTGATAACTTTCATGAGATATTTTGATTTAATCGGGGACATGCAGTGATTTTTTTATCGAAAATCAAGCGATATTCGAAAAAGTGAGGCGACAGGTTTTACAGGAAAACACTGAAATAATTAATTTTAATCGTATTACGTTCAAATAAGCCCTTTATTATTTCAAACAAACCTGCCAAGTTTCATTAAAATCGCTGAAAGTGTAGTTTGTTTATACGATACGTCGTTGCTTTTACGGTAACTGCAAAATTATTTTGTGCTGCAAACAACAATATTAAATACTGTAATACTGTTTACTGATTATAATAATTTCATTAATTATTAATTACAATTAACACTAACTGATAATGATTTCATCTTTAGACATCTATTCACGTCTCATCTAGAATGTACTCGTTGTTTATGACCCATAAGCGGCTGATTTGCCCATATATGATTATGCCAACTTGTGACTTTGTGACAGTACTCCGTACATTTGTACTCTAATAACAGTGCTATTAGTTGAAAGTGTTTTTTCATTCAAAATCTTCAGTTTCTTTCAGAACATTTTAAAATACAAGAAAGCACTTACAAT